GTTTCAGATAACAGAAAATATTTTAGTCACCTAATAAATTGTTAAATTTCAATACTAATTTTAATATGCAGAATTTATAACATTTTAATTATATAATCAAATCTTTTAATAATTTTGCAGTTATGAATTACCATCGTCAAGAATATCATGCACTCTTCTCAATATATGTATACAAAGCTTTTCTTTTCGTTCTGTCCTAAACATATATATATATATGTCATCGCGAACCACAGAACGAAAGAAGAAACTAAATAAGGAACAAAAAAGCTGTTGCTGAGAATTTTGTTTGAAAAAGTTTTGCTTGGAACTAGACTATACTCCGCGCTCTTATTCTAGGGTAATACTTAGTTTTTTGCGATCTTTCTCACAATACCAATCTTACGTATTAGACTTTTAGAAAATTTTCTTCAACGGTTTGACATGTTTGTTGGTTCGAAATGTTACCTGTGTGTTTCGATAAACTGTGATTCATCGGCTTAAAATATAAACGACAACTCGTGAAAAACAAAATAATATCGATGAAAAATACATAAAATATTTTTCAGTCAATGAATTCTTACTTGTATATTCTTGGTTGGAAGTATTACCTGTATATTTTCATAAAGAACAATTTATCGATTTAAAAGAGAAATAACAACTATTGAAAAGCGAAATAATATCTATGAAAATACATAAAATATTTCTCGATGATTGTGAATGTCTACGTGGCCGTTGTTTTTTAGAAATATTACGTCGGAATTTTTATTGATAAAAATCCACCGATTCAAAATGTAATTCCGTCGACTGAAGGGAGAGTCATATAAAAAAAACTCATAATGCGTTTGTCTGTTTGTTGGGGTCAAAAGAACATCGAGATCAAAAAACCATCTACGACTAATTTTTGATAGATGTTCACGAAAGTAAATCGAAGTCGGAGAATCCAAATCTCAGGTCAGTTTTTCGAAATTTTGAACTGAGTTTTTAGGGTCAACGAAAGGGTTTTTGAGAAAATAACGATATCTTATAAAGGTTGATGAAAGCAAGTCGAGATTGGAGAATCCAAATCTGAAGTCAAGTTCTCAAAAATTCAAATAATTATTTATATGAAAAAAGTATTCTTCTCTCTCTAAATTATTCTCTAAGGAAAAAAACCAATTCTTTGGAGAAAAACTCATTTGAAAGTAAGGAGAACTCGAAATTCGGAAAGTTCTTCTGCGCGTATGTAATCTTGGATTACTGTTTAGTTTCGGTACCCTTTTCGGTATCGTTGTAGGTGTAGATTGCAGTGTGGCCTAATGGGGTGGGTTTTCCAATAAGTCCCAGTATGATAAACAGTGTTTACACGCCAGTGGCACTAAGTCTGAGGTACGCAACATTGAGCGATTCCTGTTTATTCACAGTGGTTTCTGAGTTAAATAGCTTTTTTCCGTACAATCTGCTAAAGTCGAAAGAATTAAGATTAACAGAATGTTGTAAGTGAAGTTAGAGACTGTAGAGTAAATGCAGAATAAGGATGGGTGTGGGGTGTGGGTGGGTGTTGAAGACAAAATATCCCTACTCATACCTAAACCCACACCCACACCCCCACACCCACCCACACCCACGCTCACACTCCTACACCCACCCACACCCAAAATAGAAAGAAATTGAAACTTCAGAAAAAGTTGTTTTATTGAGGTCATTAATCGTAAATGAGAATTTGTGCATGTTTGAAAATCATTTCATGCGGTCAATTATAATGATTTGTTTTTCGAAGCTTCTTTGTTTACATGGTCATCAATGCCGGCAAGTCGAACACATCAAAAACGAAATAGACACCGGACATACCATTGGAAAGAACACTTACAAAGAGTCGACTGGCATTTTGTGGTACACGGAAATAATATTTGCTATTTGGATAACCAGAATAAGCAAAGAAGGGACGCATATTCGCATTTTGATTAGTATTGTCACTAACAGGATTAGGTTCTGTTAATGAACCGAACACTTTACAAGATGGACAATTCGATGCGAACATGATAATTTTGTTGTTCATTTTTGTGTATGGCAACAAATTGAGTTGTACAGTATAATAGGCAGCAGACGAAGTACTTGGCGTATGCAGTGGTTGGTTGATACCAAGCAGACGTGGCACATTAGAAGCAAATGAAGCAATCGGTTGAGCAGTGGATATAAGTTCCAGCTCAGATGCAACATGAATTGCATAATATTGTGGAGGATAGGAGGCCAACTGCTCCACAATAGTCTCAGTTGCTTTAGATCCAATACCAACAACCATCATGGTCATGCCACTGTTATTTTCTAATTGGCGAATTGCAAGTTCAGCTGATGGTGCTGGATCATGAGAAAACACAATAGTTACTCGTGGTGCATTCGACCGACAGCTTATAGAACAACTCGATTCAATCGAAGTCAAAGCCGAGACCAAACTCGATGGATTTGGTTGAGCCATAGCACGCTGTATTTGGCCGAGATATGTATTTAACAAAGTGATACTGCAGGTCGGAAATGGAGCAATGCTACGAACTGATGATGTTGCTCCAAAAAAATAGACACCAAAGCAAGGACTTCCACCAACTGGATTTAACTCTGTGGCTATGCTTTTAAGAGCTGTTTTTAGTCGTTCGAAGTTGATGTTAGTGATTTTTGAATTTGATTCATCAACGACAAAGAAAATATCAATGCTTTTACCGTTGAGCGGATTGTTGAAACTTCGCAATTGACTTGCTTCCACTTCAACAAAGAGAATAATAATAACCACAATAACATAGAACTTCATCATGGTAAAAGATTTGGTTTTAAACATGAAGTCTTATCCGATTGTCAACAAACTAAAACAGAACACGAGAAATTTTATCCAATCCGTTAAGTGTTATCAGAAGAGTTTCAAAATAAAAGATGAGAACGGTTAGATTTCTCATTTTATTACGTCATTTTTATTATCAACAATTGCCCTTAGTTGAAAACTATCATTCAATTGATTCTATCAAAAATTATGAAAGAAAGGTTGTTAGAAAAATGCGCTAAGCCTTAAATCAAAAATGGCTTTCCTGAAAAGGTCACTGGAAACTGATTAAAAGTAAGAAATTTTGATTAAACTCTTAGTAAAGGAGTATAATAATGACTTGTTGTTTAAAGAAAGCCATGATAATCGATCATTCTTTTTTCAACTAGAATTGAATCAATAAAGATGACACAATTTTGCACTATTAACGGTAAAATTATACGTGTAAATACTAATTTCAAGTTTATAATATTTCTAGGGTTGTAAGTAATTGACAGATTTTTTACTTAGCAATTGGAAAGTAAGGAAAAAGAAAGCATCATCAAAAGAAGAGTGCGAGTGTCGATTTTGGCTGTGGGTGTAGATGTGATAACAGCACCTACAGAATAGAACTACACTCAAGGATTACAATAAAATTAATTTTATGAACGGTAAAACTTAGCTAGCTATAGTTGTCAAAGCAAAACTAACGAGTGAATTCGAGAAAAACAGATCAGATGAAGTTTCCTTTAAAATCATATTTGAATGCTGTTATGAAATTGTGGTAGTTGAAAACTAAAGAGTTTTGTGAAAGATCTTCAACAAATCTTACAGAAGAAAAAGTCAATTAAATTCGTATTTTGTTCTGAAAATCGGCTGTTATTCGTTATGCAAGCTATTACAACACTCTGCTTCATCCTATGAGTGACAGTGCGTAGGAAACATATTACATGTTCAGTGGTATCTCAATAGAGTGATGTTCCTCTCGTTTAGTCTGTATTGCATAACGATTTTTCGGATAAAAACTTTTCCTGACAAGTGAAAAAAAGGAAAGAGAGCACTATTCAGTAAATCACACCTTCATTAGTAGTATTAAGTCTCTCGATTGTTTCTGTAGGTAATCCATTAAAAAAGCTACCATAGGCAAAGCTCTAACTAAAGATATGAATGCGTTCCTAATGATGATGAATAAAGAACTTCAATTGACTTCAAAAGAAATTTTTATAAGATGGTTTTTTAAAATCTTTGATAAGAACAAAGGTATGCATCTTGCAATCGACTACTTTTGTGATTAATCTTTCAAATATCACCACCACGATTATTACATGATTAAAATACGAAGTAAAGTATAAGTAATACAATTATAAACAAGAGGGCAGTCCTATTTGTCATAGTTCTCACCAGTGTTGCAGTCGGTAACAGTAAACGGCCGGCCCAGTCTGGTTCGGCTCGACCCGGTCTGGAATTCCTGGCTGGTATAACAGTCGGTATAAACATTATTTTCCAGGCTGGTCGGTCTAGAATTTTTCAAAATTTGTTTCGTATTTTTTTCTTATTTTTCCTCATTTTTGAGTCAAAATTGAGTACAGAAATGCTTATTTTTGAATATCCAAACTAATGTCTGTCCAAAAATTAAATGACCGTGGGTATTTTTCTAATAACTTGATAACGGTAATAGCTAGCGACCTGCGGCTTTCACCAACTGAAAGAGTATAAGTTGGGACGTCTTTTTCTCCGATAATGTATAAGACGAAATCCTTTTAAAAGTAAACATCTTCGAAAAACATGCAAAAGAATGCATGAAAGTGACCTTTCATCTAGATGAAATTTTGATTTTGCCCTGTGATTTAGATAGAGGGACTTGAGATCTATAGTTTAAGATACAATGCGCTTTTTTACTTTTCATTACATTTTTGTCGAAATTCCACGCTATTAAAAGAAAAAGTGTGAAAACTTAGTAAAAAAAATCAGTAAAATTCCCTATAATGTCTGCATGTAAATACATGATTCCATTTGCTCAATGTTAGAATGCAATAGGAGAACCATTTGCATTGTATCTTGAACTACAGATCTCAAGTCCCTCTATCTAAATCACAGGGCAAAATCAAAATTTCATCTAGATGAAAGGTCACTTTCATGCATTCTTTTGCATGTTTTTCGAAGATGATTACTTTTATAAGGATTTTGTCTTATACATTATTGGAGACAAAGACGTCCCAACTTATACTCTTTCAGTTGGTGAAAGCTAGAGACCTGCGAAGTCAAACTTTTTTGACTCCGACTCCGACTCCGAGAAACTCCGAAAATTTTTCTTTCCGTAAATCAGCGATAGCTCACGTGTACGGCGATATTATGTGATTTAAAATTAATTTACCATCACAGACGAAATCTGATTGGCGATTATTGTTACATAGTGCTTCACTTCTCTTCTCTTCTGTCCAACTGTTATACATATGTTCTTGTTCTT